ACCCCGAGGACTCCAGCGCGCACCGAAAGGATTCTTCGGGGAGATCCTCGGGGTGCCCGGCCCTGGGGAGCTCAAAGCAAGGTCCCTGCCATGGATTCAGGCATTGCTGAGAGTATCCCAGGGGTCCCTGTCCCTGCTAGACATGGAGCTCTCTAATGGGCTGCAATTGGGTGATAAAAGTGGTGCTCCAAGTGCCAAAGAAGTGTGGGATTGGGATGAAGAAATGAGCAGGGAGGGTCCAATTGGCTGTTTTCTCTGGAATGTGACTGTGAGAGCTGCAGGAGTGCCAGGTGTGTGTTCCAGTCCCCAGCATTTGGTTTGCACCTGTCCTGCTCAGACACAGGTCCAACTTCCTCAGTCCTTAACCCAAGAGAGGGAGAATTAAGGACTGGCACTGTTAAGGTGATTGGTGTGACAGGGGTCAAACTGGGAAAACATTGGGGAATTCCTCAGTTTCTCTGTTTGCCAAACTCACCCAAACCTGTGCTAGGAAGAGATGGGAAAAGTTGAGGCAGAAATGAAATTGAAAATGGGAATATTGACACTGTAATTGCTGAAACTCAATGTGTCCAAGCAGCAGCTCTTGTTGTGCAGGGAATAACTCCTGTCAGCAGCAAGGCCCCGACTGAAGTGGCAGCTGCAGCTGTTCCTGTGGTGTGGGCCAGTGGAACTGCAGGAGAGTGGAAGAGGGCAGAACCTGTAGGTATTACCCCTGGTGTGGGATCTCTCCTGGTAAGGCCAAGCCAGTATCCTTTAAAATCAGAATGGCAGCTTGGATTGGTTGCAGGAACAGCTGAATTTGCTCCTCCTGGTTTGCTTGTAGAAGGTGAATGTAAGAACCTGCCAAGAAACCAATGGCCAAGGGGATTGATTAGTGCAGGACCTGAGAGAACCCCTGAAATGACAACCTGGAGCAGTTTCCAGGATTAGATTGCAAAGATGGCCTTGGCTGCATCTCCTTGAGCAAGGAAAGCCAAGAAAGCTTTGCTTTTGCAGGAGAAAATGGGGAAAGCAGGAAGGAAGAAGAGAAGCCCCGTGACTCCTCCCTGAGCCCCAGGCAGCCCCTGAACTGCCTCCCTGGGAATGGTGGGACGGGCTGGACTCTGGATTGCTCCCTCTGCATGTGTGGTAAGATGTGTCTGGAACAGAGAGATTTCTCTGAACAGTTTTTCCTGCCCTCTCTAGGCCTTGCTTGCCATGGAAGTGACAGGTGTGTATTGTTTGTACTCAGAGACTGTGTGAAAATATGGGATGGTTGTACTTGTTAGCTGGGTGTCTAATGATAAGGTTTGAGAACGTAAGATGTTTATAGTAAGAAAACCTTGGGAACCTAGAGATAAAAGTACACCTGCAGATCTAGGAAAAACCCCTCAAAGCAGATTAGTTAGAAAGAGGTTTCTATGCCAAGGATGATTTCAGGTCGCATGGACAGAGCCTCAGATCCAATAAACTGAGAGCATGAGACACGTGCCCAGCCTGAGCTCTGCAATCCTCTGATTGTGAGCATGTACCCTGAGCAAACTAAACTGTATCCAAGGGAACTGATTGAAAGAATAAATTGGACCTTGCTTTGATCACATTGGTCGTGTTGCTGTGTCTCTGCTGTTTGCAGATCAGGGGCTGGCGACAGTGAGCAGTGTGGAGCAGAGATGGAAAGAGGTTCTGTGAGATGCTCTGCTAAAGGAAAACTGTAGTTGTGAACTCCTGACGCAGTCCCAGTTCGAACAGATGGGGGAGACAACAGGAGCCATTCAACATGAAATGAGAAGATGCTGTACGAAGCTAAACCTATAATTACTCAGTATGGGTTAAGATCAGGTTATACTACATTTGTGTTACAACATTTTAAGAATAAGCATTATCTCCAAAAATAAGGACATTTTTTTCTTGTTCTTTTTTTTTTCTCTTAGCTCTTTAAACTCTATCTGAGATTCTAGTAGCAAGAATGCTTGTATAAACTAGAGACACTGAAGTCTGTAAGAGTCTGTACTGTTCCTTGCACTGCAGTGTTCTAGGTCTTTTAGTGTGGTACTTTACCATGTGCACTTCCCAGATTTGGACATCTCTAGACATTCCTATTTGTTGTGTCTATTTTTCAAATGTCATGTCTAATGAGAATGAGTAGGGAAAGATAAGTCTAGTTTACAGAAGCCACAAAGAGATAGAATTTTGTTCTGATTGAGAAAACATAATTCTCTTGTGCTTTCTTTTTAAAAAAAAAATTTTTTTGCAAAAAGACCTTTTCCCCTTTAACTTCATAGCATGATTTTTGTAGTGGTCTTTAGCTATTTGAGAAAGCTTTGCAATTCTTAGACCCTTAGACGAAATATTAGGGCTTAGTTTTTGTGCTCCTTGTTTAACTTGCTAGTTTAATATCAAAGAACCGACCTGCTGTGCCAGGGTAAGATGACAATGCTGTTAAGATTAGATAGTGAAGTGACAAGACAGAAAGTTACTTATTGAAACTCAAATGACTGCTGAATTCTATCAAACTCTACCTTATTCATGTCAAAAAGACCTCAGAATTCATTTCAGCTAAGATGAACAAATCTGCATAAACATGGAATCAATGCTCTCTTAACCCTTCTTCTGTCTGATCAAGTTTCAGTCTGCACATCTCCCTGTGATTGAGTGAGAAAGAGGTCTGGAAGAATAAGATATTTTTGTCCTTTACAAGAAACAGTTAGACTAACCTAATTTTTGTTTCTTCTCTCTTTGCTCCAGATTTCCACACCCATACAATTGAGCTTTCTTCAAGACCTTGTTATGGCTTAAGCTGAGACTTAAGTTACAGCACCATTGACTGAGAGAGTGTAAACATCAGAAATGTTCCCTGAGTGCTTCCCTTGCTTGTGTGCTCATTTGAGCTAAGAAAACTGACAAAGGATTTTTGGAATTTAGGCAGATGAAACATTTTATAAGAAAAGCAAATGCTGTGGCAGCCCAGAGCAAATGTTACCGAGTAGGACTGATGCAAAATATGTCCTTTTTCAGTGAGGAGTCAAAGTTATAGACCAACTCTTTTATAACATTATCTTTGTGCTGACTGTTCACAATAACATCCTGAGCAGTACAAAACCCTCACTAATTGCCTATTAACTGGGCCATGTGTATCACATCTTACAATTAGCAAATTTGATTATGCATTTAAAACAATCTTTATCTAGAAATAGAAACTCTTACTGAGCTCTCTTCATCGGCTTCTATTTTCTTTATTTAACCTAATTGAAGGCTGCTTTAAAATGCATTGGTGACATCACCATTTGGGTAAGATTCTGAACTGATGGTTCTGGGGTCCAAACTTTGGAAATCAATGAAAGTTCTTTTCGAAGCCTGAAATTACCTTTTCTTGCAACTTTTTTCTTCATTTAAAATTGCTAATCCTATGGGATTGATAGTTCAGGCATCTCCTCAAGCCCGAAGCCTCCTTTGCCCATAGATACGGCATTGTTGTGAAACAAGAACAAACTAATAAGTGATAATTTTAAATCAGTGCATCATTCTTATGTACAAAATTGCTTCAATTTAACTCTGCCAGGGCAATAACACTTTGCTTTTTAGAGCTGTGGATAGTACACATTGGTCTTTCTGTAAGCTGCTCTAGGCAATAGGTTTGTGACTGAAGCATTTAATGCAGCTCCATTGTCATATTGCCAGTCTCAGGAATACTTGGGCAGTGCTCTGGAGTGCTTTGGACCTTGTTTTCCCCCAGAGGCCAAGAGAAGTGGTAGACCCCCAGGGGTGGAAACCCCTGGAAGTTTTGAAGTTCTGCCCAACGGGGGCTCCTGCAAGATGAAAGCATGTCCCAAGCACCGGAAGAGAAGGGTTGTGGTTTGGTTGTTGTGAGACCACGAGGAAGGGGCTCGGAGCCCTTTGGGCCCTCGGGGGCCTCCCAGCCCCTGGCTGGGGGGGCTGCAGAGACTGGGAGCAGTGGTAAGCTGGACTAAGTGTCTGTAGCTGAACCTGGAGATGTTCCTTCACTGAGAGCAGTAGCGGCAGCCGGCGCTGCCCGGAGAAACGGTGGCACAGAGCCAGAAGAGAGAAGAAGCAGCACCAGAGCATGCAGCAAAGCAGGAGAGACAGTGCTGTCCGAAGAAAAGCGAGCTAGCAGCAGAGAGACAGAGTTTGGGGTAAGGACTGATACCAGACCCCCAAACTCCCTTGAGACCCTCTGAGAAAAAGAGGGAGATGGACTCCTGTTTTGGAGAGCAGTTTTGGACACGCAGCACCGGAGAGAGAGAGGAGCTGAGAAGCTCAGAGCGTCCCGGAGCTGGACCGGGACGGCCAGATGGAATGTGGGGCGAGTTGACCTTGGCCCCCCCTGCTGCTGCCAAGCCTGGCAGCCTGAGACAGGGCACAGGAGCTCTGCTAGAACTCTTGAGGCAAAGGCTTGCAACTGAAAGCTGCCCAAGATGTTCTGACTCAGGGTGAGTCCCCTGAGGAAGGAACTTTGACGAAGATGCCCCCGCATCTCGTGACATACCTGTGGTGACACGAGTCTGGTCCCTGCTGGCAGCCCACGGGTGAGGCCTTCACTTGGACCGAAGGAGAGCCGAGGGGCTTGGAGACCCCCTCGTGTGTATGGAACAGAGATCCAGCTCCAACAACCCAGTTACTGCTGCACGGAGGACAGATGAGATGAGGAGAACCTGCTGCCTTAGAGGATGCTCCTGCCTTCAGACTGGAAGGGATCTGTCCTTCTTTCCCTCCTGGACTTTTATTTGGAGGGGAGAAGAGATCTGGTCCATTGTAGACACTTATGTCATGGTAGAGATAGCTAAGATTGTATGTCATGTATTGTAGTATTTATTTGTATAGTCATTGTGATATATTCCCTTTCCCCCATTTGGAGTCTGGGGTGTTTTCTCTGGAAAAAAACCCATCTCACATTGGATTGAGAGGTGACAGGGGGTTAGGACTAGGGAATTGGATTTTGGGGCTATCTCAGACCATGACAGCTCTAACATGAAACTGCCTTCTTTGCCAACTGTTAGCATCTACTTGCAATCTGCATATGCAGAATTAATAAAGAGTGAGAAAAACTCTCACTCTTGCAATCTTTGATCACTTCATCGGTAAAGAAAATATTTCTTTCTCTGTTATAGTTTTAACTTATTAGCTAGTATGATTCATTTGCCTTCTAGAGATTTTAAGCCGAGAATGCTCAGTATTCTTGTTGATTTTACCCTCACAAATGCATGTGTATTGAAGGTTCTTCACTCCTTTCCCAGGGACTTTTGCTTTGCTTTGCTTTGCATGTGTCATCCATCAGCATTTCAGAATATGGGCTGAAAAGAGTAATTAGGACTCTCTTGTCTAAATCTAAATACTCTGGGGAGAGAAGAGTCACCTCTCTGACTGCTGCTTCTTTCTGCTAAGACAGATTTGCCCCCGTCTTCTCCAGCCTTTCTTTGCAGGCCAAGCCTTCGGAAGAAATCCAACCTTTTTGTGATCAATGCAATCAAAATCATTGTAATACCAGATGCAAGTGTTCTGCACTTTTCCTTAAACATTCTTAAAGCAACCAATGCCTTCCTTTTCCCCTTTTATCTGTTCCTACTATTTGTACGCCTCTAGGATGGATTATTAGCAAGTGTTGGCTTTGCAATCTATCCTGGGTAAATGGAATTTGCAATGTGATAGAAAAATGTACTTTGTCACAAAATACCCTAGAGATTAATGCCCTTTTTTTGCTCACAGCACAAAATCCAATCTCCATAGAGTACTTTCTGTGTAAGTTAAATGATAATGGATTGTGTCTCATCCCACAGGGAATCATCCTTAACCAAACAAAATACACGTAAGAGAGAGAATTCTACAGCCCAAACACAGGGATGGCTGATAAATGTACTATAAACAGGGGAGATTTGTTTGTGTTTTAAGACAAAAAAAAGGATAAGGATAAAAGTTGATAATTTTCTCTTAGTTTCTCATGCATATTGTAGACAAGATAAATATAGCAAACAAAAATAGAGTGATAGTGTCAATACCTATGAATTGTGTCAAATAGGCAACAGTAGAATATTTGTTATGGTAATTTAAAACAGATAATTGAAGTAAAATGGTAGAGCAAACATTTGTGATGTTTGTTTATGTGAGACAAAATCCAAAATCTTACTAGTTCTAGAAGATGAAGCCAGAAGAGCTGCTTAGGTTGTATCCCATTTTCCAATGAGACTTATTGAAATTTTAGAGTTGCTGAGAGTAATTAAGTGTGCAGAAAAGACTTTCTTTTTTACAGTGCAATCAGATATGATTTTTATCAGTTCTTCAATCCTCTAGTTTCATTCTTTCAATGAACAGTTCCTCAGCTTTAACAAAACCTATTGTTTTATTGTTAGGAAATTCTGGAGTTTTACTGTACATCCCAAAGCAAATATTGATACATGACTTTGCTTTTGCAAATGGCATTTCACTGTGGGCCTAAATGATCTCTAGGAATTCTTTTCTTTTTACCCATGGACCTTCTGTTGTACTTCTTCCCTTCTGTCCTTTCCAGCTGCAGGTGTCATCAGCAGAGCAGCACAAGCAGCACGTGCTGAGGAGACAGCTGCAGCCTTTCCTCCAGCCCGGCAGGAGCTCCCAGAACCAGGGGGAATGGATCGGGTGCCCCAGGTCATCAGTGCCCCCCTGACCCAGATGAGAACATGCCAGCAGAATGTTGGCACAGGTTAACCTATCATTTGAGCAGAGTGGTTAGTAGTATATGGGTAGGATGTAGCATACTCTGTTATGGAATAGAACTGTTATAGATTTGTTGTTATTGGCATAAAGGTTATAGAGATTGATGATTCCAGAGTTCTTAGCACACTTTGCAAAGCGAGAAGGGGGACAGCCCTCTTCTATTGCCCTGCAGAAGTGTTTCATGGGCTGGAGTCTTTTGCACACAGGTGCTCTCTGGGTATCTGCACGATGGAGGAGGCCTTGGGAAGAAGCTGGTTCTTCAGAACAAGCTGGATGAGGTTCCTGCAGGTGACTGTGACAACACCAGAAGTTGTTGTAGCTGTCTCTTCAATATTATTAAAGTACAATTTCTTAGTACTTTTAAGGCACATAGTTTTAGAAGTTAAGAGGTATATAAGTTATAGAGGGTAAGAATTTCAGTATAATGTATTGAATGACCTTTGGATTACTCACTAAGTATTAGTAAGGGAAAGTTAATCTATCTGGTTAATTTTATCTGTTTGGTTGGGAAACTTTGACATTATAAGGTACTAGAGAATAATTATGGTTTCTTAGTTGATAAAACCCAGTGCAATGGAATTGAAAAGTGTGTCTGAGTGAAAGTTTGTTTGATGGTGGCCACCGTGTGCAAGTGAAGGAATGAAAGCAATGTGTGTGTGAATGTATGAACAGCTACACAAACAGCTTGGACACAAACACCCTAAAGAAAAACAGACCACACACAACCCCAAGTTGAATGAAGCTCCATTTGCAGAAGTGTTTTTAGATTGAATAAAAGCTTTCAAGGATAAGCCCTATATTTAGGAACATCTGTAAGCACAGAGTTAAGAGCACAAACTCTGGGATCAAAGGTTGTTAAGTTTGTTAGTGGCAGTGGTATTATTGTATGTAATTGTGTTTGGTAATATGTTGTAGGGATGAGGAGGAATGTTGCAGGAGTGCAGTAAGAATTGTTCAAAGCAGAACTGGGGAACTGTGGCCGGAACAGAGAGATTTCTCTGACCAGTTTTTCCTGCCCTCTCTAGGCCTTGCTTGCCATGGGAGTGACAGGTGTGTGTTGTTTATACTCAGAGACTGTGTGAAAATCTGGGATGTTGGTACTTGTTAGCTGGGTGTCTAATGATAAGGTTTGAGAGCGTAAGATGTTTATAGAAAGAAAACCTTGAGAAACTGAAGATAATGAAACACCTGCAAATTTAGTAAAACTCTAAAAGCAGATTAGTTAAAGAGGTTTCTATGCCAAGGATGATTTCAGAGGGCGTGGACAGAACATCAGGTCCAATGAACTGGGGCCATGAGACGTGTGCACAGACTGAGCTATCCCATCACCTTGTTGGGAGCATGTGCCCCAAACAAACTAAACTGTGTCAAAGTTCACTGATTGAGATAATAAATGGACATATTGCCCATCCTAAGGGTCTGTGAGCAATCTGGTCATGCCTCTCCATCAATAAACAAGTCATCAAGTCAAGGTAACTTTGTCTCTTCTGTAGAAACCCAATTTTGGAACTCTGCCTCTGGAATTGGGTGTGCCTTTGAAAAGGCAAACTACTGTGAGATTTGCTGGGTCTTCTCCTGTTCCATTCTGGAGCCCAGCTCTGCCAGGGCTGCTGCCCTGAGCCAGCTCCATCCCTGCCCTGTCTCTTAGGCTGCTGGCTGGAAGGATTTGGTTTGCCTCGAGAGCTGGGGATTTGCTGCAGCCACTGGCAGGAGAGTTCCTGGGCTGGAGGAAGCTGCTTCCCTCTGCTTCTTCCCCTGGCTCCAGTGGCAGGCAGGGGGGAGGCAGCTCTGCTGCTGAGGATGGGGGTTATTTTCTCTGCCTTATTTTGTCTCCAGAGATATTCTACCCATTAATCCAAACTGACTCTGTCTCCTAACTCTCTGAAGAGGTTTTCTGCTTTTTGTGGCAGGGTAAGGTTTGGATTCTAACTATAGAAGGGCCAACAAAATAATTGACAAAAAGGCTTCATGGCAAACAAATGGTGTCTCCCAAACTCTTTGTACTTCAAACAGATGCCTTTATTCTTATTTTTTCTTATTGGTATTCTCAAGGTGCTTAGTACCCTGTCTACAGTTATTTATTTTGGCTTCTCTTTTTTATTTGTTACAGAGTTGATGTGACTGACTTCTTTTTGAAATGCAGCAGTGCTCTCAAGGATATTTCCCCCCCACTCCTGGCCTTGTGCAGGGCTGTTGAGTCCGTGTGTGCCACTGTTCTTGTCCCAGGGGGACCGAGTGACATTTGGAACCAAACCTGGGTCCTTGGGACTGAGCCCAGAACTGATCCTGTTCATGACCCACAAGGGATGAAACTGTTCTGCAAGCCCAGTTTGCAGAGCAGGAGCTTTGCAATAATCAGCAGTGAGCACAGGAATTCATTCCCCCGAAATGTTCTGGGAAGGTTCTGTGTGTGCCAGCCCTGCTTCCTCCCCAGTGTGCCCTCCTTTGTGCTCCTCTGCCTCAAGGCCAGGGCTGGCTTTGGCCCTGCCCTTGTCCAGGCAGGAGTGCCCGTGGGCAGTGGGTTTGTCAGCAGTGGGCACAGCTCCCAGGGGCTGTTCTGGCTTTGGCCCTGCCCTTGTCCAGGCAGGAGTGCCCGTGGGCAGTGGGTTTGTCAGCAGTGGGCACAGCTCCCAGGGGCTGTTCTGGCTTTGGCCCTGCCCTTGTCCAGGCAGGAGTGCCCGTGGGCAGTGGGTTTGTCAGCAGTGGGCACAGCTCCCAGGGGCTGTTCTGGCTGGGCACACGTTGGCACAGGGGTACTGCAGTCCCAAGGACTTGGCTTGGGGCTTTTCAGGAAGGGCCAGAAAGACTTTCTTTGGCCACTTTTACCATTCCTGAAAGTGAAATCTCTGCACTGAAACTTCTCTAAATAAACTGTCCATTTTTTTATTCCCCTGGAGTGAAGCTCCCAATTTTGGATGCCAGGGTGCTGCCAGCTTTATTTGCCCAGCTGGGAGCAGTGTCTGTACAGGTCCCCAGTGTCTCCTGTCCTTGTCCTTTCTCAGTTGGGAAGTGAGCTGCTCTCCTCCCCTCTGACTCTGCCCTGGTCCCCAGCACCTGCTGAAGTTCAAGAGAGCAGCAGCTTAGGCCAAAGGTGTTCCTGCCCTTTATCTGCTCCCCCTCCAGCCACGGCCCTGGCAGGGAGAGCCAGCTCTGAGCTCCCAAATCTGCAGTGCCCAGGCAGGTGACCCGGAGCAGCTGAGAGCTCTGGTGGGCTCACACTGTCAGCTTTGCTTCTCCATTGGCTTGGCTGGTTCCCGTTAGGAGAAGGTTTGTTTCCTCCACTGTGATAATTCAGGGAAATCCTGAGATGTGATTTAAGAAAGAAAGTCATGAGCTATTGCAATAAATGTGAATCTGAGAGTGCCTAAAAGCTGTTGCTGAATTCCATTTCCAGGGACTGTCCTGGTGGGGATACTCCAGAATTGCAGCTTTGATGTTTCCAAAGGAGCCTGTGGTACTTCTTGTTTCCTGTGCTGGGCTTTCCTTGAACAGTGCCCAGGGAGGGGAGCAGCAACAGCTTCACTTGGAAGTGGACTCTGGTTTTTGAGAACATCCTAAGCTCAGTGTGGTTTTGGTATCACTCAGTACTTATTTTATTTGCCATTTGCCTTAAATTGTATACACCTTTGAAGTGCCAGCTGTGTTTTGAAGACATTCTTACAGTTGTTTCAAGTGAAACTTGGAATGCTACACATTTAGAAAGAGATGATTTTCCTGTGAATAAACTACTAAAACAAAGGGGGGGAGTGAGGAAAGCCAAGTTCAGGAGATAACCTTACCAACTGGTTTTGGAAGTTGTTTACCTAAATGGCCCAAAGTGGTTTGAGCTGCAGCACAAACGGGGGGGAGAAGGAGAGGTTTTGTATTTTGACAGTTCTTGAAGTTTTTTGCAGGGACTACTGCCAGGTTCTCTTTGAAGTCCAAAGCCCATTAGCACGGGGAAATGTGTGTTTGGCTTCAGAGATAGAAGGAGTGTGTATTTCCCTTGGAACTAGAGGAATGTTTCTGTGTCTTTGAATTTTAAATTGCACATGAAGCAGAAATATGTTTGTGTTTTACAGGTGATATTTCCATGAAAATAGAAATGTAAAAGGAGAAGATGCAAAAAACGAACTCGAGAGTCAGAGACACATCCTCCTAGAGGTACAGGCAATGCTCTCACTTTATTCCAAAAATACACCCATTATCAAGGGTCCTACAGGGTTCACACGCTCTGTTCTAACTCTCTATTGGTTACATTTACTTTCACACACTATATCTATAACTTCATTGGCTCTACTAGCCAAGGCACATTTCCAGGCCCCCCATCTTCTGGTTTCTCACACCCTGGCTAACAACCTCCTTCCTGGTTTTCCTCTCTGCAGCTTTCTGCTCTCTGCTGCTCCAGGCCCCCCATGTGCTGCTGGAGCACACGGGTCCCTGCCGTCCAGCACGCAGGCTGCATTGTGCCAGCAGGCCTGATGCAGTGTATGTCCTGCAGCCTCGAAGAGTTTCTCAACAGAAATGCATCATTGGATCTTACTCCTCTGAGGGCAAAGCACCAGCCTGATCATTTCTCAGTCCCTCAAACCCAGTGCCATGAGCTCAGAGGGGTGTTTGGGTGCAAATGTGGTGAGTGGTGGTGGCCCCCGGGAGCTGTGACCAGCTGGAAATGGGGGGGTGTGTGCAGAGCTGGGCTGGATCCCTTGGGATTTGGCTCCCAGATCCCCCCCAGCCTTCAGGGAAACCAGAGGCCCCCGACCCCTGAGGGAAGGGAGTCCCGTCTGCAGAAGGGTTTTAGGTTGGGGAAAAGCTCTCCAGAACAAAGCCTGGCTTCCAAACACCTTCAGCAAAAGTCAAGGAGCACAAACCCTGAAGTCATCACGTTAGGAAGTTTGGTTCAAACCTTTTGCTTCTCAGTCAGTTTTAATGAAGTGTTAAAAGGAGAACATAAATAAGGTTAATTGCTGATGGAGAATAATGGGAAGAAGTGGAGTGGTTTAAGTTCACTAACCATGTTTTCTATCAGTCCATGGTTATTTAATTGAGCATTGTTTGGAATTTTTCTTTTTGCATTCGTTCCTGTGTGCTTTTCTCTATCTAAGGGATGGTTGGAGGTCTTTGTGATTGGTTGGATGTTTTTAATGTCAGTGCTCGATTGGGGTGGACAGTCACTGTAACAGGATTTAGAGTTTGGTGCACTTTATTCTGTGTGCCCTGTTTGATGTCTCGTGTTCAGCGAGTGCCTGGGCAGAGTTTGTGCCAAGCCTTTGTTTTTCCAGTGAAAACCCAAAGGGGGAATTGCAGTTGCAGCTTTGCCCTTGAGCTGCAGCTGGAGCCTGACCAAAGAACAGGGCAAACCTCCCTGGGGAAGGAAGGGGGAGCCAGAGAAGAGAAGCAGCTGCAGCCAGAAAGGGGGGTTTGGGGGGGAGAAGAGCTGCTGGGACCCAGCAAGGGGCTCTGGAGGGCTCGGGGGGCCCTATAATGGCTCTGGGGTCTCTATAGGGGCTCTGGGGTCTCTGTAGGGGCTCTGGGGTCTCTATAGGGAATCTGAGGTCTCTATAGGGGCTCGGGGGCCCCTCTAATGGCTCTGGGGTCCCTGTAGGGGGTCTGGGGTCCCTTTGGGGAGATTTGGGTGAGTTTCTGGCCATTTTTTTGGGGAGATTTGTGTCAGTTTCTGGCCATTTTTTAGGGAGATTTGTGTCAGCTTTGGGTCGTTTTTTAGGGAGATTTGAGTCAGTTTTGGGTCATTTTTTAGGGAGATTTGTGTCAGTTTTGGGTCATTTTTTAGGGAGATTTGTGTCAGTTTCTGGCCACTTTTTTGGGGAGATTTGGGTGAGTTTCTGACCATTTTTTTGGGGAGATTTGTGTCAGTTTCTGGCCATTTTTTAGGAAGATTTGTGTCAGTTTTGGGCCATTTTTTTGGGGAGATTTGGGTGAGATTCTGGCCATTTTTTTGGGGGGATTTGTGTCAGTTTTGGGCCATTTTTTTTGGGAGATTTGGGTGAGATTCTGGCCATTTTTTTGGGGAGATTTGTGTCAGTTTCTGGCCATTTTTTGGGGAGATTTGTGTCAGTTTTGGCCATTTTTTGGGGAGATTTGTGTCAGTTTCTGGCCATTTTTTGGGGAGATTTGTGTCAGTTTTGGGTCATTTTTTAGGGAGATTTGTGTCAGTTTCTGGCCATTTTTTAGGGAGATTTGTGTCAGTTTCTGGCCAGTTTTTGGGGAGATTTGTGTCAGTTTCTGGCCATTTTTTGGGGAGATTTGTGACCATTTTTTGGGGAGATTTGTGTCAGTTTCTGGCCATTTTTTGGGGAGATTTGTGTCAGTTTCTGGCCATTTTTTAGGGAGAACTTTCTGGCCATTTTTTGGGGAGATTTGTGTTTCTGTTTTGACCCGTTTTTTTGGGGAGATTTGTGGAGATTGTGTCAGTTTCTGGCCATTTTTTTGGGGAGATTGTTTTGTCATTTTTGGTGGTTGATTTTTTGGGGGGAGTTTGTGGTTGAGTTTCTGGCCATTTTTTGGGGCGATTGGGTTGAGTTTCTGGCCATTTTTTGGGGAGAATTGGGTGGTTTGAGTTTATGGACATTTTTTTGGGGAGATTGGCGATTTGTTGCATGTCAGTTTCTGGCCATTTTTTAGGGAGATTTGTGTCAGCTTTGGGTCGTTTTTTAGGGAGATTTGAGTCAGTTTTGGGTCATTTTTTAGGGAGATTTGTGTCAGTTTTGGGTCATTTTTTAGGGAGATTTGTGTCAGTTTCTGGCCACTTTTTTGGGGAGATTTGGGTGAGTTTCTGGCCATTTTTTGGGGAGATTTGGGTGAGTTTCTGGCCATTTTTTGGGGAGATTTGGGTGAGTTTCTGGCCATTTTTTTGGGGAGATTTGTGTCAGTTTCTGGCCATTTTTTTGGGCAGATTTGTGTCAGTTTCTGACCATTTTTTGGGGAAATTTTTGTCAGTTTTGGGGTCATTTTTTAGGGAGATTTGTCTCAGTTTCTGGCTATTTTTTGGGGAGATTTGTGTCAGTTTTTGGCCTCTTTTTTAGCGAGATTTGTGTCAGTTTTTGGCCATTTTTTTGGGGAGATTTGTGTCAATTTCTGGCCATTTTTGGGGAGATTTGTGTCAGTTTTGGGTAATTTTTTAGGGAGATTTGTGTCAGTTTCTGGCCATTTTTTGGGGAGATTTGTGTCAGTTTTGGGTGATTTTTTAGGGAGATTTGTGTCAGTTTCTGGCCTTTTTTTGGGGAGGTTTGTGTCAGTTTCTGACCTTTTTTTTTGGAGATTTGGGTGAGTTTCTGGCCATTTTTTGGGGAGATTTGTGTCAGTTTCTGGCCATTTTTTGGGGAGATTTGTGTCAGTTTTGGGTCATTTTTTAGGGAGATTTGTGTCAGTTTCTGGCCATATTTTATGGAGATTTTTGTCAGTTTTGGGTCATTTTTAAGGGAGATTTGTGTCAGTTTCTGACCTTTTTTTGGGGAGATTTGTGTCAGTTTTGGGTCATTTTTTAGGGGGATTTGTGTCAGTTTCTGACCATTTTTTAGGGAGATTTGTGTCAGTTTCTGGCCATTTTTTGGGAGATTTGTGTCAGTTTCTGGCCATTTCTTTGGGGAGATTTGTGTGAGCTTCTGACCTTTTTTTTGGGGAGATTTGTGTCAGTTTTTGGGTCATTTTTTAGGGAGATTTGTCTCAGTTTCTGGCCATTTTTTTGGGGAGATTTGTGTCAGTTTCTGGTCATTTTTTGGGGAGATTTGTGTCAGTTTTGGGTCATTTTTTAGGGAGATTTGTCTCAGTTTGTGGCCATTTTTTGGGGAGATTTGTGTCAGTTTTGGGTCATTTTTTAGGGAGATTTGTGTCCGTTTCTGGCCATTTTTTGGGGAGATTTGTGTCAGTTTCTGGCCATTTTTTGGCGAGATTTGTGTCAGTTTCTGGCCATTTTTTAGGGAGATTTGTGTCAGTTTTGGGTCATATTTTAGGGAGATTTGGGTGAGTTTCTGGCCATTTTTTAGGTAGATTTGGGTGAGTTTCTGGCCAGTTGTGCTGGTTTAAGAGTTAACCAGCAGGGGAAATGAACTCAACTCAAAGGAGCGATTATAAGTCAGAATAACAATTTACTAAAATAATACGGTAAGTACAATCATACAAACAAACAATTGGTCTTAACCCACAAAACCCAAATGTATAACCCAGTACCCTGGGGCATGAACAACGTGGTGTTCCTTGGGCCCTGCTTGAGTCCAAAGCAAAGGGAGAGGGGAAGAACCTGCTGGTGGGAGAGCTGTTGCAGTCTGGTCAAAGTGGTGATTGCAGTGAGATGCCGGGGGAAGAGCGGTTGCAGTCTGGTCAAAGTGGTGATTGCAGTGAGATGCTGGGGGGAGAGCTGTTGCAGTCTGGTCAAAGTGGTGATTGCAGTGAGATGCTGGGGGGAGAGCGGTTGCAGTCTGGTCAAAGTGGTGATTGCAGTGAGATGCTGGGGGAGAGCTGCTGCAGTCTGGTCAAAGTGGTGATTGGAGTCCAGTTGAGGGTGGTGACCCAAGTCTGTTTGAGAGCGATGAGCCGCAGTCCTTCTCTGGATCCCACAGAGTGGTTCCAAATGTTCCAAGACTCCAAGATTATATATCCTGCAGTTCAGGCAGGAATGCTCAGCACTTCCCTCAGGGCGGGGAGTTCCACAAAGGGTGTGAGGACAGGAGCATCCTCCTATCTCACAGGCCTCTGAACACCCAGTTTGTAGCCTGAGGAGTCAGGCTCTATGGGCAGAGGGTGTGAATGGTTCATTGAGAACAGTTTCTGGGCAATGGCATGGAAGGCTATAGAATACACAGTTTTGGGTTACACCCATACCCTGATGAACTGGTCTCACTTGTCCTAACTAGGACACCAGTTTTTGGCGAGATTTGTGTCAGTTTTGGGTGATTTTTTGGGGAGATTTGTGTCAGTTTCTGACCATTTTTTTGGGGAGATTTGTGTCAGTTTTGGGTCATTTTTTAGGGAGATTTGTGTCGGTTTTGGGTCATTTTTTAGGGAGATTTGTGTCAGTTTTGGGTCATTTTTTGGGGAGATTTGTGTCAGTTTCTGGCCATTTTTTGGGGAGATTTGTGTCAGTTTTGGGTGATTTTTTGGGGAGATTTGTGTCAGTTCTGGGTCTTTTTTTAGGGAGATTTGTGTCAGTTTCTGGCCATTTTTTAGGGGGATTTGTGTCAGTTTTGGGTCATTTTTTAGGGAGATTTGTGTCAGTTTCTGGCCATTTTTTGGGGAGATTTG